CAGCCCAAATCCTGAGCGTGCATCTCCCCTGGGTGAGAGCTCGGACAGTTCAGAGGCCTCCACTGGGCTGTGGTTTAACAAAGCTGCACTTAATCCCCTCCTTGCTTGCTAAATCCTTGCATCCTCCTTGCTCTCAGCAGCTGTGCCTGGCAAACCCTCCTGGCTCTGGACCTGACCTTTCCCAACAAAGCACCTTTGTCTGGCAGACCTTGGGGCTGCAGGGTTGCTTTTTTATTTTCCCTTTACTTATTGCTCTTTTTTTAATTGATGGCACCACCCAGCAGCACAAGGATCCATTATATCAGCTGCCATTGGACTTTGCTTGTTTGCAGGAGGGTGATTAAGAACAAACGGGCAGTGCCGGGCTGTATCCTGGAAAGCGGAGGCCAAAAGTTTGAGCAAGAGGAAACTTGGCAGCGGAAACGCAGCCCCAATCCAGCTGGCGCTGAGCCTGTGGTCCCCATGTGTCGGGGAAGGAGGGAACCTTGTTTTCACATGGGGTAGCATGGCTGGTCTTTGGGGAAGGGTGGGTGGAAGCAAGAGTGGGGTTTTTCTTGCTCGGGTGGACCTGTTCTGGTGAGGGTTTCCCTGATGCCGTGTCTGTTCTCCATGGAGCATCCCAGCAGAGGGCAGCAAGAGATGCCAAGGGCATCCATTGCTCTCCCACGGGTGCTGCTCCAGAGCACCCATGCTTGGTGCCAGGGCAGGCTGACCCCTTGTTCCCTTCTACCTTGGGGCACCTGCTAACGACTTCTAACTCTGCCAGGCTTTAAAGAGCCATTTTTGGGGCTGTAGGAGGGTGTTGAGGTGGGAACAGCAACACCATGCAGATCTACTCTTGCCCTCCCTGGTCTCTGGACAACTTCTGCCCTTCTTCTCTTTAATTGCATGGTTTATTTGGGGGCAAAACTCATCTTATCCTGTATTTCTGTGTATTATAGGGCTGCAGCTGCCCATGCACACATCTGGGTCTTGGTGCACTGAGATGATGCTGAAGCAACATGCACACAGCAGGGTCTTGGTGCACTGAGATGATGCTGAAGCAAGACCCAAGCAGGGCACTGGTGACCTCACGCTTACGTGAGCATGGGCAGCTTGGCCCAGGTGAGGACACCCATTGCATTCAAGCCCAAATTGTGCATGATACAAGCCAGTGAGCAAAATACAAATTACTGCAGCTGATCTTCAGGCGGAGGCTGCGTTACCTGGCCGGGGTGATGCCTTTTGACAACAGGAAGGGTGGCTGTTGGCCCTCAATGGCCGTGTGAGCTGTTTCCTGGTTTGTAATGAATTGGTACTGCAGCAACTATAGGCTGGGCAGAGGCTGAGTAGGAGGGGGAAGATTCAGTGCTTGCGCTCAAAAGGAGGTGGGTGCTGGCACTCTCTGTAGCGTGACTAACGCCAACACCCATGCCAGTCTCTGCCATGTCTCTGCGCAGAGGTTTCTCCTCTGTTGGGAGCGTTTCTGCCCATCGGCCCTGGGTGATGCACTGGGAACTCTTTTATTTTCAAGCTTTGCACATCTCTGTGTGGTGCGGAGCAACGTGTAGAGGGAGGATGTCTCTAGGTTGGCTTCTCTTGGCTTGCGTTGCTCCGGAGTTGGTACCTGAATGCTTGAGGCTCTCTAGCAAAGTGGTGGAGATCCTCCTGGAGATGGGGGGGTGCTGCCCTGTGTTGCTTGGATTTTCTGGGAATGGTTGGCATGCTGCAATACCCCTCGGCAGTGCTCTTCCACCTTCCCTGGTATTTGCTTGGGTTTCTTTTTCATTTCTCATCCTGTTTTCAACAAGCAGGACTGGGCATTGCTCTGCTTTGTTCTCCAGGTGAAACCAGCCTCATGCTTTTCATGTGAAGTCAGAAACCGCGGCTTTAAGCAAAGTGCTTTTTGCACTTGGGGTTGCAAAATAGTCTGAGGTGGTAGCAGGGTAGAAGGGATGTACTCCTGAATTGTGGAGCATTATTGCCTCTCACTTGGGGCAGAGGGATGGAGAGAGATGGGGCTGACCCTTTGCAAGAGACTGAAGCAGAGAAGCACCTGAAACCCACTGAGAAATCTTTAATTGAGATATTGCCACTGGGTCTTGCTTCTCCTTCAGCACCTGGTTCCTTCCCTTGTCCCAGCAAGCTCATTTCAGGGACACTAAATGATGCACAGAGCTACCAGAGACCTTCCTTAAATAGACTGACAGCCCTTTGATGTGTAAAAAAAAAAATATAAAGTTTCTAGGTTGTTACAACATGTGAAAATATTTGGCGTTTTCCTCCCTGCTAGGAAAAAAAAAAGAAATTTTTAAAGCTGTGCAGTAATTACCTGCTAATGGAAAAGATACTCAAGAATGAGATAGTCTGTGAAATCCTCTTAGTGCAAAGAAATTGCTAGTAGGCATATTTAGGAAATAACTGCATCCATCTCCCCTTCTTAATTATGGTGGATCTGTACAAGGATGGTACACTTTGGTGTAATGTTTCACCTGGTGATAGACCCCTAAAATAGGGAAAAAAAGCTGGTAATGCAAATATAGTTCAGTTTTATAACCGAAGTGGTGTTGGATCCGTAGGGATGTGTAGGCAGCAGTGGGGGGGGGGGGGATGGAGGAGTGCTGGGACGCTGCTCCCAAAATGGAAACCCCTGTTTTGGGGGAGAAGCTGGGAAAACGAGCATGGCGTAGCTGTGACCACATTATTGTGCGCTACAGGTAAATCTGGTTTGAATGTGCAGGGATTATATCAGCCCTTGCTGTGTCTGCTGAAATAAAGGGGGATTTTTCTGTGAAATGGCTATTTCTGCTCAGAGTGTTGAAAGGCTGGTGGCCAGCTGTGACAATCCCATTCAAAATGGGGCTGAAGAAACTTGAATGTTTTAATAAAAAAAAAAATAATTCTCCGTTTGTGTTTAAGCGCTGCTGTTGCCATTCCTGGGCAGGTGAGAACAGGCAGGAGGACCTCAGGGTTTCCCAGCCGCGACCCGGGCTCTGGCCCGTGCCCGTCCCGGCGGAGGCGAGGTCACGGCGCTTGCTGGATGCCAGGGTTTGGTCTGGGTTAAATGCAACTTCTCTACCCGGATTCAATGCGATGTGGACCGGCGAGAAGCCGGATGGGGAAAGTGCAGCGGGGCCTGTGCTGAGCACCAGACCTCTGCACCATGAAGGATGCTTTGCCGGTGTGCTCGCCGGGCTCCAGCCTGCATTTACCCCATGGTTTAGGGTCTGTCCCTGCCTGTGCTTTGGGGAAGGGGGTTAATCGCTTGTGCCCCCTTCCCGCTGACCCCAGCCCTGCGTGGGGCCGTTCTGCCCCTGTTTTCGAGCCAGGTCCTGGATGCCTTCTGTGCTGACGCAAAGCTGCTGCTGCAGGATCCTCTGATTCATCCCCATGGAGGGCTCACACCCAGGCTGGGTTTCTTCTCCTGGGTGTTGATCATGCTGGCGGTGCTGGCGTGGGCTGGGCCCCTCCGTGGGGTGCTGCAGTGGCCCCCGATTCCCACTGCCGGAATGGCTGTGGGATATGCCAGGACTCCTGGGTCTCTTCTCTGATATGAGGGTTGATGGGGTTTAGAGCAGCAAAGCAAGGGGGGGATGCCCAGGATTGCCTGCTCTGGGAGGGGGGGCTCAATGCCCCCTTTGGGTGTATCTTTAGGGTCTGGGGTGCAGTAGAAGGAGACTGGTGTGCGGCTTTTGGAGGTGCTGACCTGCTGTGATGTGGGCTGGGTGCTGCTGGGTCACACTAAGGGGGCATCTCTGGGAGCTGGAGGTGCTTTAATGTTTCCCTGAGGCTGGTGGCTGTGCTGTGCGCGAGTGCGCTGCCCTTTCCTGATGACAAAGGGGCTTAATCTTCTTCCTTATGAAAAGGGAAACTGAGGCACAGAAGGGTTGTAGATCTTGGCCCATCCCTGTGGAGGGGTGAGGTGGGAGGGTTAAGACAGTGTGGGGTTGCAATTCTAGCTTCCTAGCCCTGCTGCTGACCTGGTGATCCAAACTAAGGGCTTTTCTACCTCCTTTTCTCCTCCACCTGTGATGGTGGAGCTTTGTATGGGGCTGGATTTAGGGAACTGGTGGGAGGAATGGCTGGGACGGTGCCAGCGTACAGTGTCCCCGTGCCCAGGTTGGGAGCGAGATGCTTTGGCAGAGTGTTGTGGCAGAACTGGAAGAGCAGGGCTACAGCAGAAGGTCAGGGTGAAGGTGTGGGTTTGGCACCTGGCGAGGGGGCTGGGGAGGGTTGTGGGTCAGTTTTTGAGGGCACTTGTGGAGCTGTCTGGGAGAACTGGTATGGCAGAAAGCCATGCCTGAGTCAAACCGGCAAAGTGCGTGAAGGAGGATTGCTGCCGGCTCCTCCCAGCCCATGCCAACCTCAGAGATGGGCTTCAAACTGCCCTGGACCTGGCGCCCTGCCGTGGGGCACCTCCTGCTCTCCCCCCCACTCCAATCCTAGTGCCCATTTCTCCTTCTCAGGTTTAATGACTATCACTTCCCAACCCTCCTGCTCGTGGTGCCAGCTGCCACAGGATTTGAGGTCCAAGTATTTGCTCTTTCCC